TAACAAAAATTTAATTCTGATATTCATTTTGATAATAATTATTCTAGATATGCGAATAACAAAGCTTTATAATCTTGATAAATCTAAAGTATTTTCATTACAAAAAGCACGAAAATCTTAATTAGCCATTAAAGAAATTATAAGTAGTAAAGTAAAAATTAGTAATGAGTCACATACAATCAAAATCATGTGTCTTAAGCAGTTTTTCGCTTTCAACGATTGTTTTTTTTTTGTTTTTTATTTCAGGATTTATGGCTGGAACTCTTATTTTATTTCGCATGATTATAGAAAAATTTTGCTTGTTTTATGTTATTTAATATAGTGTTTATTCAGAAAATGTATATTATGTTTATTGTTGTAACCAATAAAGATTCTTCAAATAATATTGAGTTGTTACAATTTTGTATTATTTATTTTGCACTTCTAAAATTATTTAACATAAAATTTTACATTTTTATTTGCATTTTGTAATACGCCTGAGATGCGTATTAAAACAGTGCTATTAAAAATGTAAAATTCTTATATTTTGTCGAAGTAAATTCAAAAGCCCGCCAATTTTCAAACTAAAATAGCATTACATCTTTCTATATTACCGACTGAGTATTAATTTCACAAAACTATTCCATATGTCGCTGAAGGTAAACATGCTGCCAAATTTCTGTGAGGAATTTGCAACTCTTAATTATCCTTCGTCCATGATGATAACTGTGTAAACCCTACATCGGTCCAATTTCAAAGGACGTTCAAAAAATTGCAATGTTCAAATTTATTACATTCTGAAAACTGCGAAACAGGTGGGGATGCTTTACTTGTAAGGCTGCATGAAATTCGTAGGACTAGTAAGGATGAGCCATTTTCCAAAATCGCATGTAATGGTGGCAATGTTGTCGAAAATGTAAATATAAACAAGCATATTAATGAGTTGCATGCACAAAATATTAATATTTTTTAAGAAAATTTTATTATATATGCGGATTTTTCATAAAAACGTATGTACACAATATGCATATGCCTTACCACACGAAGACTTGGATACAAGCTCCATGTATTGTTATTATAAACCATACAAAAAAGCAAATGAAGATATTTTTGGCAATTTAAAAATGTCAAATAATAGTTTGGTATGTTTAATAACAAAAATTGAACTAATTTTTCAATAAAATTTTAAATTATTTATCACTAAATCCGGCGTTTATAATTTTTTTTTAGATTTAATTAATTCCGAGATAACATTTGACGCTCCTTGTCCCCGATTTCCAGAAATATATGTTATTAAGTTATATTTAAGGCTACTCATATATTACACTTTAAAAATATTAATAGAAATTTTAAGACCATCAATAAAAACAAGCTAATTATTTGGCGCAATCTGTAGAGCATATTGTCTTTCTTAATGCTGTTTTTATAAGTTAAATTAAAATATATTTTATGCAAATTTTTACTTTTTTGTTTTAATACGATCCTGCCTATCAATACCTAATTTTATTACAAAATCTTTAAATACGCTTTAATCCGACCCTGACTAAGACCCCCAAATGGCGTCGCCAAGGTCAAATTTTCTTAGTATAATATTTGTATGCGATCAGCGGCAAGTGAGCCTGCCGATTGTTTCTTATGCCGTGTCGTAGAGGTGTGCCATTTTTGATTAGGTCGGCAGGATCGTGTAGCGTTTCACAGGTTGCAATGGATATTTTTGATGATTGTCAAAAGAAATATTAAAAAACATAAAACTGTCAGGATTTTTTTTTATTTCATTTGTTTATTTCATTATTTAAAAATAATTCTGATGTTTTATATTTTAAGTGGTTTTTTAACATGTGTCTATATTAACTTGAACTGTTTATTTATACTTAGATTTAAAATAAAAATTATTGAATGTACTAAATATAAAAGAAAAATGATTATTTTCTTAATTTTGTGATCTCGTCAATAGTAGTACAACAAAAAATCAAAACAAATTATTCTCTATGAATTTATTATTTAAAATTTAAATTATATTCGACGTCAAACTTTAAATTCCTATTTATGGTCTATCAATTTTGATAAAAGATAAATCAACAAAAATTTTAAACCCAATTTTGTTATACTTACTATTTTTGAGATGTGCCATTATTGCAGTCGGTAATATTTATAATTCATTGGGTAGCGATAAGAGTAAAAAAAATATTCTTTATTATGCTTAATGTTCTTTTATCACAAACTGCTCTATTTTCCTCATTAGAATACATATATACTCTGATTTTTTATTCTCAAACATAAACCAAGCTGATATCGCAACACTGTAGCATTTAAATACCTGAAGATTATTTTCTAACAGTAAACATTACCTTTTATTATTAGGAAAATTTCATTAGCAATTTTTCCCTATTTGGCAACACAACGAGGGCTATATTTAGCGAGATAAGGTTGCGTTTAAGTGTGCCCATTTATAAAAACCTACTTTTTAAAACAGCTATTTTCTCATATTTATGCTAAAGCTCAGGAAATAGAATTTTTGATAAACGAGTCTAAGCCGAACCGTAAAAACTCCTTTGTTAAAATGTGAAATAAGTGTGTGGGAGTTTATAGGACGGGGTTGGATTGGACATTAAATTAATATAAGGCAAAATATTAAGGGTATAGTCCGATATTAACAGAAATATTTGGTCCAAAACTAACTACTTTGCGTGACATTCCTGAAAAACCGGTTAAGAGCCCCGCATACCACATATATTTCGTTTTTTGCGGAATGGGACGTTTCGACGCGGCCGTTTCGACGCGGCCGTTTCGACGCGAGGACATTTCGACGCCGACCGATTCGACGCCAGGCCGTTTCGACGCCAAATGTAATTTTTTTTAAGTAGGTAATAAATTATTCAAAAAAATATTTGAAATGTCTATTTTTTTGCAGATCTATTCTTTGTATAAAATTGGGTAATTTATCTTGTTTCTTAAATATTCGCATTAAGCATTGATAGATAGCTGCAGTAAATATGTAACCATTAGCTGGCTTATGTTCTCATTTCTATGAAAGGCATAAACAAGTAATCGAAAATTAGGTACCTAAACAGATTTTTAATGAATTACCTAAATATTTATATTGATACATATTATGAAGTAATTCATTAGCCCATTTTAGGTACCTGATCCTAGTTAGATTAAACAGTTAACTAATTTTTGATCTTAAATGTCGATAATTCATTTCCATTACAATATATAAAAGGTGTTTCTAAATTCATGCAAAATTCAAGAGGTGATTGCTCGTATGAAAATATTATTAAATTTTACATTTTTACTGTTTTTCACTCAATTTATTAAAAAAAAAATTATAATTTATGGTGTTTATTTTTTCTCTGAAGCTATTGGTTTTAGGAAAAAAAATTAAGAATAAAAATTTTTTTTTTAATAAAACAAGAATAATTTTATTTTATAAAACTTCATCTCGAAAAACAGTTTTGATATAAAATAAAGTAAGGATTGTTAATTTCTCTCCCCTATAATGTACAGGAATATTGAAAAAATACCCGTGGTTAGTCCTTTGCGAGTGCACGAAAATGACAGAATTTCAAGTTTCTAGTTTTACTGAAATTAAAAAAAAAAAATAAATAAAAACTCAATTTTAGTCACCATCTTTTAAGGGTGATATTTCGGAAAGGCGTGGGCTGCGGAAATTTGTTATAGGAAAGACCCATCTTAATTTCATACAAGCAATCCCCTCCTGAATTTAGAAACACCCTGTATTTACAGATTTTGAAGGACTCAGATCATTGGTTTGTTAATGGGACATTTAAACCAACTGCCTCAATTTTTTACCTACATAAATTATGGCTAAATAATTTGGGAGAGTTCATCCTGTTCTTTATGCTCTCCTGTCCAACAAACGGTAAACTACATATGCCCGAATGATTGGTATGAACGTTTACAGCCAGCTGCAAATTCATAGAAGATTTCATGCGATTTTGAACTAGGTGCCATAAACGCTTTCAAAGAAGAGTTTCCAAATGCAGAGCTGCTAGGTTGTTTTTTTTTTAATTTGGTGAAAAATATGAAAAAACATTTGGCGCAAATGAATTTGCTGAGTCGATATAATGCCGCTGCTGATTTCAGTCTTCATGCACGAATGGTAAAATTTTTGGCATTTGTTCCTGAAGATGACATGGATATTGCAATCGACCATTTATTTGGAGAATTGTCTAACGAGTTGCAACCTCTAATAGAATGGTTCGAGGACTTGTTTTATGAACAATTACTGTTGGACCAGCTAAATAAAAAAAACATTGCGATTGTGACAAGAGGATTTTAAAAATCGATTATAAAAAGAAATATAAACGAATATTTAAAAGCAATATCACATAATTACAAGTATATTATGCATTCTTAATAATAAAATTAAAAGAGATATTTCAAATATATTATTTTGTATGAATTATTACCCACCTAAAAAAAATACAGTTGGCGTCGAAACGGCCCGGCGTCGAAACGGCCGGCGTCGAAATGTCCTTGCGTCGAAACGGCCGCGTCGAAATAGCTGCGTCGAAATGGCCGCATCGAAACGTCCTAGACCGCGTTTTTTGACCCTAACAACCTTATTTTTATTTAATAGCATCTGTCTTTGAAGGTGCTAATATCTCTATAAAGGAGCTCCCAACAAATGAAACCCAAAACAAGTGCTTCATGTTAGGTATAGATTTTTTTGACCTCAAAGATGAAATCTATAAGCCTTTCACTTGGCCTAAATCTGTTGCCTATAAAAGGTTCGACTTTCAATATGACTGACGGAATATTTAAATCATTATAATATACTACCTTTTACTTCGATACAGTATTAAGTTACATAATAACATAACCTTGGATTTGTGTTCCAAAATAAAATAAATATTTACACTCCATATAAAATTGTATCTTCAGGTCGTTCAATAACAACAATTATTTTCTGAATCTATTTTATTCAAACATTACAAAACAAGACGCTAATTAAGCTTAAACAACTCAGGATGTTTACAATCTTAAGAAATTGGTGACTAGCTTCATTATCCTTGATTAACGTTTTATAAAAATCTTTGTGGCATTCTGTAACAAACTAATTTTCTAATTACGAAAAACACCATGCAAACCTCTCCTCAATAAATTATATATTTACGTCTGAAGGAAATTTATAACTGGCGCAGTCAATCGGATTTTTCACAAGACTAGAAGTTTACATAGTTGAGAACATCTTTGGGTGCTATCATTTAAGTGGCTAAAACATGACACGTGTCTATATTCGACCCTTCCATATGGCTAAAATCAGTAATAACATCCATATTTGTACCAAAAGCAGCGATGCAACCTTCAAAACTTTTCTGGAACAATCCATTGGTTACCTCGTCCAAATTGGTAACATTCGGTAGCCCACCAATGTAAAAATTACCGGTTACATAAAACTTGGAGCTCTTCTCCAATTTCTTCTGGATCTCGAACGTTTTGTTGTCCAAATGTAGAACCAAAGGGTCTAACTGAAGTTCCACGTTGTGCCACAGACCGTCAGAGACTTGGGTATAGGAGGGTATTTCATAAATTGACTGTTTGTTTTTTTCTGATGACATGGCGATTTTTAAAAATCCATTTTCAATACCCAGGCCTAGATAGTTCTTTGCCTGAAAGACAAATAATAATTGTATATCTAGTCTATTCACCATCAGCTTAAAAATTGGTTTTGATATCCTCTAAGAGTTACTATTTATTATAAGAATTATTGTAAGTTCATTATTTTTAGATAATTATTGTAAGACAGTTATTGTATGTTATTTTATTGTTAAATCTAGATTGTAAGTAAACTATTGTAGAAACATTATTGTAAGATAATTATTCTGCTCTTCTAAGCATACAAGTCGTATCTGAGAATAAGACTAATAAAGATAAATATTTCAGATTTTTTTAAATACAACTGAGTTTGTAAATATGATAATTAGTTTTGAATGTTATTTATGTATTTCTGCTGCATTTGACTTCATGCAATAAAAATATAAATTAAAGTCGTTTACAAAGAAGATATTACCTCCAATTTAGCTAAAAATATAGATACAACTTTTATGCTCAGAAATGCAGATTATAGAAGAATTATTGTAAGATAATTATTGTAAGATGATTATAATAAGAGAATAATTGTAGGATAATTATTGTTCGGGAATTATTGTAAGAAAATTATTATAAGAAAATTATTGTAAGAAACTTATCGTAAGAAAATTATTGTAAGAACATTATCGTAAGAAAATTATTGCAAGAAAATTATCGTAAGAAAATTATTGTAGGAAAATTATTGTAAGAAAGTAATTGTAAGAAAATTTTTGTACGTTAATTATAAGAGAATTAATTTAAGATTGTTTTTATGCTCTCCTAAGACAAGAGGTCGTACCTACAAAATAAACATTTATATAAAATGTACACACATCCATTTTAAACTTGTAGAGTTATATGTGAATAAATTTTATATATGAAAATGAGTGGGATGATCTTATCGCTTTCCACCGTGATCCACATAGATCTATTGTGTTTAAACGTTTATGTATAACAGACAGTCCTTTCTAACTTTGTATCATAATAAAATAAATTGTAAACTAACAAATATGTAAAAATTTTGAAATAGGAATTTTTGTAGACACGACTAAGGTTACATAATTATTGTAAGACCATATATTGTAAGACAATTATTGTTAGGTAATTATTGTGAGATAATTATTGTAAGATAATTATTGTAAGATAATTATTGTAAGAAAGTTATCGTGAAAAATATTGTAGGAAAATTATTGTAAGAAAATGATTGTAATTTATTGTAAGAAAATTTTTGTACGTTAATTAATATAAAAGAAGATAGTTTTTATGCCCTGCTAAGACAAGAGGTCGTACCTACAAAGTAAACATTTATATAAAATGTACATACATCCTTTTTAAACTTCGTACAGTTATATGTGATTAACCTTTATATATGAAAATGATTGAGATGATCTCATCGCTTTTCACTGTGATCCATTGTGTTTGAAGGTTTGTGTATAACAGAAAATCCTTTCTGACTTTGTATCATAATAAATTAAATTGTAAGCTACCAAATATGTAAAAATTTTGAAATCGGAATTTTTATAGACACGACTATGGTTACATAATTATTGCAAGGCCATATATTGTAAGATAATTATTGTAAGATAATTACTGTAATAATAATTGTAAGATAATTATTGTAAGAATTATGGTGAAATAGTTATTGTTAAATATTGTAAAATTATTATTGTAAGATTATTATTGTGAGATCGTTACTATAAGGTCATCATTGGAGGATCATTTTTGTGAGATAAAAATTGTAATATAGTTTTTGTAATACAATTATTGTAAGATAATTATTGTGGAATAATTATTGTAAGAATATCTGTAAGATATTTATTGTAAGAAAATTATTGTAGAATAATTATTGTAAAAATATTTATAAAATATTTATTATAAGAAAATGTATAAGATATTGTAAGAATATATGTAAGATAATTATTGTAAGATACTTATTGTAATAATTATTGTGAAATAGTTATTGTTAAATATTGTAAAATCATTCTTGTAAGAATATTATTGTAAGATCGTTACAGTAATTTCATCTTTGAAGGATCATTATTATAAGATAAATATCATAAGATAATTATTGTATGATAATTTTTGTAAAATAATTATTGTATGATAATTATTGTTAGATACTTGTAAGAATTATTGTGAAATAATTATTGTAAAATCATTATTGTAAGATTATTACTGTAAAATTGTTACTGTAAGGTCATTATTAAGGTATCATTTTTGAAAGACAATTAATGTAAGGTCGTCCTATTTCTAAATCCCTATTGTAATAATAATATTGTAAGATAAATATTGTAATAACATTATTGTAATGCCATTATTGTAATATCGTTTTTGTAAGATCATTATTGTAAGATAATTATTGTAAGATCATTATTGTAAGATCATTATTGTAAGATCATTATTGTAAGATCATTATTGTAAGATCATTATTGTAAGATCATTAATGTAAGACCATTATTCTAAGATCATTATCGTAATATTAGTATTGTAAGATTATTATCGTAAGATTATTATCGTAAGATTATTATCGTAAGATTATTATCGTAAGATAATTATTGTAAGATCATTATTGCAAAGTAATTATTGTAAGATTATTATTGTAAGATAATTACTGCAATAATAATTGTAATATAATTATTGTAAGAATTATTGTGAAATATGTATTGTTAAATATTATAAGATCATTATTGTAAGATTATTATTGTGAGATAGTTACTATAAGGTCATCATTGGATGATCATTTTTGTAAGATAAATATTGTAAGATAATTATTGTAAAATAATATTGTAAGATAATTATTGTAAGAATATTTGTAAGATAATTATTGTAAAATAGTTATTGTAAGATACTTATTGTAATAATTATTGTGAAATAGTTATTGTTAAATATTGTAAAATCATTCATGTAAGAATATCGTAAGATCGTTACAGTAATTTCATCTTTGAGGGATCAATATTGTAAGATAAATATCGTAAGACAATTATTGTAGAATAATTGTTGCAAGATAATTATTGTAAGATACTTATTGTAAGAATTATTGTGAAATAATTATTGTAAAATATTGTCAAATCATTAATGTGATATTGTTACTGTAAGGTCATTATTGTAAGAACATTATTGTAATGTCATTATTGTAAGATCATTATTGTAAGTACTTTTTGTAATGTCATTATTGTAAGATCATTATTGTAAGTACTTTTTGTAAGATCATTATTGTAAGATCATAAATGTAATATTATTGTAAGATTATTATCGTAAGATAATTATTGTTAGAGCATTATTGTAAGATAATTTTTGAAAGGTAATTAAAGGTAATGAATTATTGTAAAAAAGTATTGTAAGAGAATAACTGTAAGAAAATTAGTGTAGAAGAATTATTGTAAAGAACTATTCTAAAAGAGTTATTGTTAGAGAATTATTATTAGAGGATTATTTTGTTAGATCAATATTAATATTAATAGTAATATTCTAAGAAAATTATTGTAAAAAAATTATTGAAAACTAATGATTGCGTCTGTAAGGCATTGTTTTCTGTTTCAATTAGATATTTAAATACAACATAAATAAAAATATTACCTTTTTGTTCCACAAAAGCAATCCATTGGGCCTGACAGTAGTAAAATTCAAAAAAATTTTAGTAATATCCTCCCTCAATTCCCTTTTCTTCTCACCAACTTTTCTTACTATCAAATAACTGTGGCCGTTGAATTTCGCATTATTGACAGTTATTTCGTTCTCGCAAAATGCACCAGACCAACCGACTTGACAGGTACAACGATTGTTCAAACATATTCCTTGGTTCCTACAAGTCCTTTGGCTGCAATCGGATATTAAGTGACATTTGTCACCGAAGTACGGAGGGTTGCAAGCGCAGTGCGGCTTCAGGAACGAATCTAACCAGCAGGTTCCGCCATTTTGACAGCTGTCACCTCCGCACGGAGTTCCATCGCAGTCTTGTACGTTTCTCGATTTTTCTATATTTTCGGTTGTTAAAGGTACAGCTAGATCGTTAACAATGAACCGTCGAATGCAGCCTTTAAAATGTACTGGTAAACCAGCTGCTGCGAATAGGGGAAGATTGGACATATCTGGAAGGCCTCCGAGGTGGATTGTCTCTTTATTTGAACTCAGTGTATGGCTCATATCGATTTGGCCAGTATTGGTTATATTATCGACTGAAAGATATACTTTCTTGCCGTATCTACCGAATTGAACTTTATGCCATAGTGCTTTTACCAAGAGTTTTGAACTTCTGACTACCAGGCTTGAAGAGGTGATTTTACTACTGCCTAAAAATCGAATTTATAAGTAGAAAAAGTATGGTTAATTGTAAATTTTTGTTTACCTGACTGAACTTTGACTTCCAGTAAACCATTTTGCAAAGAAAGACATAGATATCTAAGATCCTTCTTGCCCATAAACAGAATTATACCTTGATCGCTTAAGATCCTCATTTCGAATTGAATTTGAAACTTTGTTCCCTCTATTTCTATCGAGTTTAGTGTTATGTAAGATCTAATACCAGTCAAACTCACGTCAGTTACTATTTCATCTAAAAACCAGTTAAAATAAGTACTAATTTGAGGCAGTTTTAATAATATAAGTCAAACCCTTTTCGCAGTGTTCTCCCGTTTTTCCCAAAGGACAGTCGCATTCAGAATGTGACAGTAAAGGAACACATCTTGCATTTTCTGAACATTTTGTGCAATTACTATCACACAAATTATGTCTCGAAGAACATAATGGACCAAACCAGTCGTCTTGGCAAAGACACCTAACAAAAAATTCATTATTCCAATATTAAGGTTATTATTTTATTTATCTTACATGAAAGTACTACCATGATGCAAACAAGCCCCATTATTTTGACAGCTCCGTTCGTAGCATTCGCTGGTGCCACATTGTCCCACAGCACGTCCAAAAGCCTTCATAGATCCTTGAAATGGGATAATTACGCTTCCAGATTTCATTTCCAAATCATAAATACAACCTGAGAAGCCTGTATGTAGTGGAAGATCATGTGGAAGTGTGGAGAAGTTCTTTACATCATAACCGCCTATGAAAACACGTTCAATTTATAATTATCCAACTGGGTTGTGTTTAAAATGATTTAATAGGATTTTATCGTACCAATATAAAGCAGAGGAACCACGTCTAACTGAATCAGATTACCAGGAGATCTACCGGTGACGTTACCCAAATGTTCCACGTAAAGCCATGCTCTTCGACCAGTGTGTCCCAATCTTACTAGATAATCTTTAGCTCCTGGTTTTATTGGTTGTGAAGTAAAAATTCTTCTTGGTCCTACAAAGCCAGATAAAACTCTGTTGTTTTTAGTAACATTTGACATAAAAGATATTTTACCTGATCCCAGATTCCAGGTTAGCATGATATATCCCCTAACGAAGCTGACTGCTACATGATCTGAATAGTAATCATGATGTCCAGCTTGTCCAATAAAAAGCAGTAAGGAAATTTGTTCCAAAGTAGTGGGGGTGAATCTGAATTTGATTTCCATTGTTTTCGAAATACCAACTGGGAATGGATAGGCTACAAAGGACGACAGACCATTGACAGATGATGAGAAATAAGGTTGAATCACCTTTAGATCTGAAAAATTGGTTTTAAAAATGTTATTTGGTTGGGGATGATCGTTGTGTTACCGTTTTCGCAAAAATGACCATGTTTTCCATATGGACAAAGGCATATATATCCACTATTAGTAAACGGGATGCAAGTTCCTCCATATAGACAAGGATTGTTATCGCAAATTGATATTTCACAAGATTTTCCCAAATATCTATAAAATCAAAATGTATATGTTCTACCACTTGTTATTTAAATTTAAAACAAACCCATTTCTGCAATGACACTGCCATACATCGCCAACAGAAGTACAAGATGCTCCATTTTTACAAGGACTGGACAAGCAAGCCAAAGAAGAGCATTCAGAAACGTCATCGTAAATTTTGATTTTTTGTTTCCCAATCTGAAAATAGATTTATATCAAACCGAAATCAATATTTACGGATTTCTAACCTTTAAATTTGACATGCAGCCTATAAAGCCTGCCACAGGAATACCAACTTCGTGGATTAAGTGCTCTGGAAGACCACCGAGGTGTAACCAAGCTGATGGTTTGGTGAATTTATCGATTTTCGCTGTTTGGTCACCTCTCATTGATAAACTATCGTTTACTTTTATTGAAGCATTGCAGTGTTTAAAATCCTTATCAAAATCTAACCTAAAAATGTGAGGTTAAGTACGTAAGGGTTGATTTTTAATGTATATAAATACCCGGCTTTGATATTCATTGTAAATCCGTTGTTTACTGGTATTTTCAACTCGCTCAGTAACATGGTTTGGTAACCGCAAGAAAATTTGAACTTCAGAAATCCATTTTCCATGTACAGAGCCATATATTGCGAATCAATATTAGAAAAAAACAGCATTCCATCCGAAGCCATGGTTTTAGTTTCGAATTCCACCGATAGGTGATAGGAAGATACATGTAAACGATGGGATAGATAGGAATTGCCACCAAACGCTGCTTTGCGGACTCCTAGTTTTATCTCGCAGACAAGACCTTCGTAGTCAAAAGGACACAGGCACTAAAAAAGTAGACAACATATTTTTTACTGTTATTAATACACACTTATTGTGTGTGATAAGTAGCTTATTATACACGCATGAAATTGAAATGAGCTTGAATTTCCTCCAAGTGTCACACCGCGTACTGTAAAGAGATAATTACCATACTATGATCAATCTTAGTCACTACGTTATAGATTAAGAAGTTTATGTACTTACTTTATGTGCTTCTTCAATGAATATACAAGTACCGCCATTCAAGCATCTAGTTTCAAGATTCGTACAATCAATACTTGCAGCTGTACTGCTTTCTTCAGTAGTACTAGAAGTACTACTATCTAACAACTCCGATACAGTACTTGATTCAGTTGACGTAATACTACCGTCAGTAACTGTCGTTGGTTCCGTAGTAAGAAATGTTGATAATAATGTAGTACCATCACCAGGGAACGTTCTGTTACTAGCTTTATCGATAAAGGTAGTACTCCAAGTGCTAGTTTCGTCAGTAAGTGTAGTAAAATCGGTTGGTTCAAACGTTGAGAGCATCGGAGCACTACTGACCTCTATAGATAAAGTACTAGGGAGTTCAGAAATAGTAGAAGATTGATTTGGATAGTATGATGTTGACGATTCATAACGGAATTCTGTAGAATATACACCGCGATCTGTTGTAGATAAGTCAGTGCTACTTTCGTATGACGGTTCCATACTAGTGGACGAACCAGTCGTACTGATATATTCAATAGTAGTACTGCCATATTCAGTAGTAGAAATACTGGTAGTAAAATAGTTTGTAGGAGATAAAATTGTACTAAAATTGGTCTCAAAAATCGACGTAGAAAGTTCAGTAGTAGACAAAGTAGTATTTGGAAAAACAGCCGTTGTAAAAGTAGATTCAGTTAAAATTTCACTAGTTGGCACTTCAGTTGTAGGAGTTAAAGAAATACTTATAGATGATATTGTCATATTATCGTATGCTACAGTTGTTGGACGGGCAGTGGGACGTATGTAAGTACAGTCTAAGGTTTTGTCAGGCAGTATAAGGCATTCGCAGAGCACTCCCGTTAAGTGTGGAGGACATGAGCATGTAAAGTTGTCAATACCGTCGATGCAACTTCCTCCATTCATACACCTGAAAATAATTATAAAAATATTGGAAATGAATATTTGAAATGTCTTTCAAGTACTGTTTCTTATCATGCATAACCCACCTTGGGCCCAGTTGGCACTCATCGTACTGATATTGGCATAGATCTCCGTGGAAATCTGGTACGCAGTAACAGACAGAATGACCATCTTCCAGTATACATAAAGCTCCATTTTTACATGGACTATTGTCACATATCTGCATTACTTCTTCACAGTTTCTTCCAGCATAACCTAGAATGATTTGTCAATCAGAAATACTGGATTTTTATCTTGTAGCTACTTACCAAAAAGACAAGCGCACGCGTAGTCCGCTAGATGGTCTATGCAGACTCCGCCATTTTGACAAGGCGCAGAGGCGCATTCGTCTATCTCAGATTCACATAGTAATCCTCCCCATCCTGTATGATATAACAATTCATTTATTTTATTTAATTAACATTATTAAATAGAATAAAAATTAAAAGGAGGCCTAGAACCAATCCCCGAGGAATACTTAACAACGCGCTTACCTAACTGACATCGACAAGTGAACGTCTCTCCAGGGCCTTCTTCGCAAATGCCTCCGTTTGCGCATCGAGTCTCATTTGTAGCGTTACAGACCGCTATGTCTATCTCGCAATGGTCCCCTGAGTAGCCCGGTAGGCAGTTGCATGTGTAGCCATTTTGCGCGTCTAAACAGGTTCCGTTGTTTTGGCATGGGTTGCTCTCGCATTCATTGATGTCCTGTTCGCAAAGCGATCCTAGAATTTAAGGATATTAATAATATTTATCGCTAATCGTCAATATAGCGATTTGCGGAAGTAAACAAACACTTTATCCCACTATAAAAATCAAATATTTTATCTGCCGCTAATATCACCGTTCAACACAAAAATCCTCTTTATAAAAATATCGTGTATTTTGTAATATTTGGACTTAAACTAATATACAACTAACCCCCAAATGTTTATATTGGCCTCACATTTCTTGGAAGGGCTTTATGTGCTCAGCTTAACTTCCTAGTTCCAAGAATTAATTCCAGGTACAGCTGCACATTCATTCTTCCCACTCCCAGAACAAACTTATTATGTCAGTCTCCATTGTACCATATGCTGTCCACGGTTAATGACTCGAGTAAAGAAATTGATCTATTTTGTACTACCATCTCAAAGATTAAAAAACTTTATTCCTGATTTATATCCATATATTCCTAATTAAAATATTTAGTGTAATGTAATTTAGTGTAATTAAGTTTTTTATGTTTTTGTATCTAATTTCATCTTTATATATTAGTTGTTTCGCATGCGATATGTGTGAGTAACCTTTTTTCTCCACTGGAGTTTTTTTCAGATTACTCATACAATCTCATTTATAGTTTTACTTTAAAATTTGTTTTGCTTTTATTGTATTATTTACAAATATATGTTTATTAATGTTAAGTGCGCATTCTGTAATAGGCCTTGGCCGTTGAATGTAAGAATAAATAAATAAATAAATAAATAGGCCCGTTAATGGTCGCCCCATTGTTATTTGCAGGTAGTTGGATCTATGCTTGAAATATCCCTTTAGTCGTTACCAGAAAATCATTTAGTAAACATCTATTCATATTTTCGCTTAGATCTACGTGCGTGTTAAAACGGTATCAAAAATGTTGATGCGCGTTTGCGTTAATAAAGCCGATAGCTTCTGTTATATTTGTGGCGAAGTTACCGCGAAAGCGTACCAAAAACCAATATCTTCATTAGTAAAAAAGGCTTATGAACTGTACTTTGGATGCAAAGTTGGCGATCAAGATAGGTCCTGGGCCCCAAAAATGTGTTGCAGTTCGTGCTCGAGAACATTGACTGGATGGGTGAAAGGTACTCATAAATCTATACCATTCGCAGTTCCAAGGGTTTGGAGGGAACCTCGTAATCACGTAGATGATTGTTATTTTTGCATGACGAATATTAAAGGAATTACTAACAAAACCAAGCGTAGCATTCAGTACCCCAATATTCCTTCTAAAATGCGACAGTGCCCCATGACAACTCATTACCCATTCCCCAGCCACCTCAGAGTTACACGCTTGATTCCGAATCAGACTCCGGAAGTATTTCACCGGACCAAGCTACATCCTTAGTTCTCATGATTTGCCTGACATACCCCATTTAATCACTCAAGGTGAATTAAATGACCTTGTTCGTGACTTGGACCTCCCGAAAATAAAAGCTGAACTTCTCGGATCCTGCAGCAGCAGTGGAAGCTCTTGGAAAAAGGAGTGAAGGTGTCCATCTACAGGAAAAGGCAATCTACTCTCACAATTTTTTTTTGTGGTGGAAGGTGATTTAGTATTTTGCCATGACATACCTGGCGTAATGAACGAACTGAACTTACCATATACTCCCGATAAATGGAGACTATTCATAAATTCGTCTAAAACAAGTCTAAAAGCTATTTTACTTTTTAATGGAAACGAGCATCCATCGGTTCCTATAGGTTATTCGGTAAATATGAAAGAAACATATGACAATCTTAAGATGTTACTAAGATGCGTAAAGTACGAAGATCACAAATGGAACATATGTGCAGATTTAAAAGTGGTGGCGTTACTGACAGGACTGCAATCAGGATATACAAAATACTGTTGCTTTTTGTGTGAATGGGACAGCCGTGCAAGAGACAAACATTATAAAATTAAGGTTTGGCCTCCACGTGACACAATACAAGTTGGCGTTAAAAATTTTTCCCGAGAACCATTAGTTCAGAAAGAAAAAATATATTTACCTCCACTTCACATTAAGCTGGGTCTGATCAAAAATTTTGTTAAAGCACTGGATAGAGAAGGAAATGCTTTCAAGTATTTAAAATACAAATTTCCATGTATAAGTGAGGCCAAAATTAAAGAAGGAATTTTAGTTGGTCCCTAAATTAGGCAATTGTTTAAAGATGCGAACTTTAGGCAAATTTTAAGTGACAATGAAAATCGGGCATGGAATGCATTTGAAAGTGTTTGCAACAATTTTCTTGGAAATAATAAATCAGAAAATTATTGTGAACTCGTGGAAGAACTACTCACGGCCTATCATATTTTAGAATGCAACATGTCACTAAAACTTCACTTTCTCCATTCTCATTTGGATTTTTTTCCAGAAAATTTAGGAGCAGTATCAGCTGAGCATGGAGAACGATTTCACCAAGATATTGCTTCCATAGAGAAAAGGTATACAGGAAAGTGGAGCCCGAATATGTTAGCCGACTATTGCTGGACCCTAATACGAGACACATCCAGGAGTTCTTAAAAAAGAACGACTTATGGAAGTAAATATTAAATTTTAAATTATTTATAAATGTTTATACTGTACCTAAGCTAACTGTTAATAAAATATATTATAGGTTTTTAATTGTTTAAATTTAATAAATCGGCATTGAAAGGAGTTTTTATTGACTTTTTCTTAATATTAAAGCATATGTCCCTCCCTTATCATTGGAGGCTAATATCGAAAATCTGAGGCCAGATCCGGATTCAGCAGGCCAAAATCTATAAAATCCAGCCAAAATCATTTCAGGGAGGAAAAAAAGTCTTAAAATGTTCGTCAGTGTATTTATCAACATAGCCATAACCGTCTGACAAAAATAGTCTGTAACTGATTTGTTCCGTATTCGCTGTTATTTTTCTGTTTATTTACTTTGTCATTATAAAATATAAAATATATTTTTTATGAGAAACTGCTAATAAAGTGCAGGCCTTTCCCTAGTTACTGCTGGTAAACTGACGGATCATATGCAAGCTAACTAAAAGGCAAGTTAATATTAATAATATGGAAAACTGCTGGCCAAACTACTTATTCCTGGTAAAGGTACTAGCCTTATGCAAGGTCATTGAAGGAAAGTTAACGTAAATGTTATGGAAAATTGCAGACCATTTGCAGGCATGTAACTGCTTTTTGCTGGTAAAATGACGACTGCCCTCTGCCTCTGCAGCCCGTTGTGACAAAAATAGGAGTTACCAAAGCCAGAACCCCCACCGAAAGGCCACTACTTAAAATAACGTAAGTATATCTAAGTACCGTTTTCTTGCCATAAAAAAACGTTTATTGGCATTGTCTTATGCGATAAAAATCAATGAATCAACTCAAAATTATTCTCCTAAAACCCAGATTATGTAATATGGCTGCTGTCAGGGTGGGTTTACAATGTAAATTCAGTTTATATAGTTAACTGGAGTTTAATTTATGAATAATTATATATTCGAAGTACAAATGTTATTTTTAAAATTATGTTCAGTCAATGATTATACAAAGAAGCTCTCATTTTAAACTACATTTTAGCTGCCTATATTGTAGTTACAACTCGTCTTGCCCAGGGCCGTCCCTAGACATTTTGGCGCTCCGGGCAAAACCTTAATTTTGCGCCCTCCCCCGTTTTTTTAAGTAAATCTCATGCGACCATAAGAGGATCACCCTACCCTGGGGCCGACCCTGCCCTGCCCTTACTGTAATAAAAATGTGGTACTTATAGGATAGGTACCTCACTATACTTTTATAATAAGTTGCTGACGAAGCCTAATGATTATAAGCAACTTTTTCAGCTTAGGTAGATACATTTTGCTGTATCTTAGAAAATTATTTTATTACTTTTATTATTTTTACGTAATTCTTTGAGTCAATTTCATATTTTCTAGTCTACCCTGTATTAAATGAGGGATTTTCACCTACGTTTTCACAGAAATTTGCTCGGCTATAAAATTCCTTATGCCTATGCGTACCTATCCAACTTTATAAATGACACTGTATAGGTATCTATCTGTCTAACTATCGGGAAAATTATGTATTAAAATTGAATGATAAAAATAATAAAAATATTAAAACATATTATTTACTATGTAAATCCTTTACAAAATCCCAGCTACACCATTGTACATAGAAGCGAAACCATCATAAAGGTTTATTAGTTTCAGTAATGTATAAAAATAGTTCAAATACATTTAAATAAAAAAAAAAAACAAGAATTTGGAGAGAAGCATTATTAAAAGTTTTAATACTACTAGTGGCCTCTATTATTCGGTAGCAGAAGCATATATCTGTGCCTCGAACTTACAAAAATATTTCTTCTAAATGATACTCAATACTCAATATAGACAACCAACATTACTATTCAATGTATAAAGTGTTGCAAATTTAGAAAAACGATTTATTAGTAACAATAAATTATTATGTCCATTTCTAAGGTGACCAATCATCCAGTTTTAGGGAGAACAGTCCTTCTTTTGTAGGTCTGGTCCTTCCTTGAAAAGTTTCCTCCTTTTCGATATTTTAAAACTACTCTGTTAATACTTTAGATTAGGGTTGCCAGATTTGCGAAAGGGAAAACCGGAACAATGGTAACGACAGGGGATCGGATTCAAAAACAAAGCATTTGCCAGATTTGCGAAAGGGAAAACCGGAACAATGGTAACGACAGGGGATCGGATTCAAAAACAAAGCATTTTTATATAAAAACAAAAAAAGTCCTTAGCTTGTATTATTTTTAAAAACAGGGAAGGAAAGGAACATGTACTATGTCCCAGTGGTGAGAGCGGTCATGAAATTCGAAGTTAAGTTGATTATCGATGGATGTTTTCCTTTGTTGCCAGTATCTGTATCTGTAACGTGTGGAGGGTGGGTTACCCATGCAACTTAGGCCTCACTAGGCCCATTGTGCATCTTCCTAAGGCGATAAGCACCTATGAGCTCCTGAGCCAGCCTACAGATTTAATGTAGCTGACAATGTCGCCAAGAGGTGCTTCTCTTATATCGGCCGGTGTTAGCCGATAATCGCCGAATACAATTCTTCTTCTAGGTAAATGAGAGCGTCAAGCAATCGTAGAGGATATGCTTGATGGTCTCACATTCTTGTTCGCACCCTCTGCGGAGTGCTGATTCTGACATCCCTACAATATGGAGATGCTTCCGTACTTGGCAATGGCCAGTCAGAATGCCTGTCACTAGGCGCAGATTCTGTCTAGTCATAGTCAAGTATTTGTTTGCTTCCTGGCAACTCTGCAGTTTCTTGTTTCATCCCATCTTTCCTTGAATTTCACAAGGGAATGTTGCCAGTAATAAAATATATGCTACTAGACATCAATAATAAAAAAATTCTTTGTAAGCATTTTCTGTCTTCCGGTTTTGTTACTTCCGATGTAGGGATTATACCATTTTCAACTAAATTCGGAATATAGCTTGAATGTCGAAAAATGTTTTAATTGCTCTTAAAATGTTTTTAGCCCTTGAAGCATTTTTTATTCAGTAGTTCTACCCCATTCAGCCTTTTTTTTTATGTATTTTTACTGTAAATCAAATAAACTTCGTTGAAATACGTAAATATCCGGTTACGTGGTTCAAATCCCTACACCGGAAGTAGCAAAACTAGACGACAGAAAATGCTTACAAAGATATAGGTTTTATTGTTATTGACGTGTATTGTTGAATACCGAAATAATAAACAGTAACTTAAGGCCAAGAATGTGTGAGGAATTTCTCCAAACTTTGGCACACATTAAATTACTGTCTATTTTACATAATAAAAAAAAAATTATATTAAAATATTACCCGTATATCCAAGAGGACAAGAACAATTAAACATCGCAATCCCATCGATGCAGATCCCTCCGTTTTGACAAGGCGACGACCAGCACTCGTTCCAGTTGGTCTGGCACTGTATTCCGGTGTATCCATCGATGCAGTAACAAAAATAACTGGAATTCAAATCGTCCAAGCACACTCCGTGTATACAAGGGTTTTTCAAGCAGGCGAAGCCGTTCCAGACGCCTGGAAGGTTGAGGAGGAGTACTTGGATGATGAACAGCCATCGCCGGCTACCGATTTGGTGCATATTGCATTATTGAAGGGTTTCCTAAAATAAATGAAAAGTATAAGGGGTGGTAGCTTTTTAAATGAAATGCGTGAATGTTCAACCTAATGACGTTTCAAAAACTGAAAGGACAGGACCGGTTTATGTGATATTCGACAGAAGCAAACTGGTCTATTTTCTTTATTCTACTACGTCGCATTTATTTTTAAGAATGGAGAATTAATAGTTTGTGCAACAAGAGAGGATATGATGGCCAATCCACTCGAGTTGTACAGTATATTTTTTCTACGACCCACTAACGAAAATTTACAAATAAAAAAATATTTTAGGTTATTAAGACAAAATAACTAATTTTAAAATATTTTATGACTTTTAATAATTTTTAAAATAAAATAAACAAAAAAAGAAAAATGTTCATTTCATTTTTCCCCATCCGAGAATCGAACTCGGGTCTTCCGTTAGGAAGGAAGAGCGCTGACCACAGGACTACCTGTTCTTTTATTTTTGTTTCTTTAATACTCGTAATTAAATTTACTTCATAGTTTTATTTAAATTAACAAATTATTTATAATTATAGACGAAATAAAAGCAGAAATGCTATTATTTATCGATTATACACAAGAATAACCTATTTTAATGTATGTTTAATCTCAATAACTAAAAAATATACTGACAATTCGTTTAACAGAATTGTCACTTATTCAAAATTTTTAAAACAATAGCAGTCGGTTGATCAAAATATGAACGGTAATAGGTGGATTTCATTTTTTTTAAGTGTTTTCACTACCTAGAATGGATATGAAATATATTCGTTCAGTTGAAGGCAATAGCATACTTTTTCGTTTTGTAATCTGTGTGTAGATAAGCTAATATCCATGTGGGTGTAGAAAAATATATTTTATTTTAGTATATGCCTAATATATGGTTAATTTAAATACTTATCATATACTTAGAACGTACTATCAAATGAAAGTAGATACTTCTTCCATACTGTACACATACTTGAAGTACATTCTCAGTATCTGCATAGCACTTATAAACAACGTCCCATAACATATACTTATATAGTATATTCTGAGAATGTACTAAATGCAAATAAAGTATATTCTCACTATATGCGTATTCTTAAAAAGTATATACTAAGAATACGCTACGAATGTATATACTGACAATTAGTTTGACATAATTGTCACTTTTTTAAAATTTTGAGAATAATAGTAGTTGGGTAATCAAAATATGAACTGTGATTGGTGGATTTAATTTTGCAGTGTTCTTACTACCTCGACTAGTCATGAAGATAAGAATACTTTTTCGCTTTGTATTCTGTGCGTAGATAAGCTAATATCGATGTGAGTGTAGAAAAAGATCTATTTTTATTTGTTTTCTTTTTGCAACTGGTGATAATGTTCAACATTATGTAACTGGTTACATACAGTAGATTATTTTGACATTTGACATTACAAAATGTCACTTTAAACGTCAAAATTAGAAAAAGAAATGATAGACTCTTCGACAAAAAAACAGTTTTTAAATAGTTTATAGTCAAATATTTGTAAAATATAGCTGTATCAACTGCAAAACTAATAATTGTATCTCTGGTTTGTACCGCGAATAAGTCATTAAGTTACATTGAGAACAAATTTGGCCCAAAAACGGTTCCTTGTGGTGCTTTACAATTTAATGTTACATATTTACTGCTTTGTATATTTTACTTGACAACTTAGTGTTGGTGTTGTTAGAAATTATATTATTTTTTTTTTAACAATTCCATTGTCGCCCTTTTTAAATATTGGTATTAAATTTTGTTTTTAATCTGCTGGAAAATATTTTATTTTAATTATATTAGTAAAAAAGGGGAGCTACAGTATAGCTATACAAAAGTTACAGTTAAAAATTCAAGTCTGTATTTCAAAAAAATATATTGAAGATAGCCCTAGAAATTTAAAATGTTTTAATGAAAATTTTGGAGGTGTAAATTATAAGGACCTTTATTTATAATAAAAATTTATTTTTTATATCTTTTATAACAACAATGCTAGCCCAAAATGAGCTTTTTAGGATTAGTATCCAGAAAATCCAGATTTTTTTAAGGACCATTAAATTAGCAATAAAAATATAAAACTTTTCCCATACTGTATATCTTGTGGTTTTCTAGAACTCTGTATTAAATAAATGCTTCTGTTTAAAAAATAATTCAACTGTGTACCTTTTTTAGAAACCCATGTTTTGTAAAATTATCAACGTTTTGCTTTAAAAAATCCGTTACATCATAGGCATCATGAAAACAACTTAAAATGTCACTTACAATTAAGGAAAAACACTTTAAAACTATTTTCTTAGGGTCGTTAATAAAACGAAGCGGAAGTAAACCACCCCAAACACAAACCGACGTCACAATTGTATAAATTAATTAGAGCAGCCAATACAACTGACAAAACAAATAATCCAGTGGATTAACACAGTCATCTCTACTTATCGATTTTACAAAACCCAAATTTTTAATTCCCTAAACTCCCAAAAAACCGCAATAATAAAATTGTTCTAGAGATTATTTCAAGAAAAACTTTCTTTTCGCACATCGTGGCAACTTTCTGTCGAACTTACCTTAGGAATTGAACATTCGGTGTCACCTTTTTTACTTTTCTTTCAAATCACCACTAACCCCGTTAATATTCCATCCCCCGCGTGTACGTGGGCTATACCGAACGGTATCCATGGTAACGTGTAAACAAAACATACTGTATATCAAACTAGTACGAAAGTTTCTTGACCGCAACCTCGGTTGCGGTCGAACGAACTAATATTGCGACGTTGTCGATGTGCCAGATTGTTCCGGTAAACTTTTGATTCTTTTCATGTAAAGCAGTGATTCTCAACCACTGTGCCGCAGCACACAAAATTCTAAAAGTGTGACGTCAAATTTTAGATATATAATAATGTTAATATTATTAAATAATATAATTCAAAAAGAAAAATACTTTTAAAACAGGAATAGATATTTAAATCCATACATTTTTTTATATTATTTCATTGTTTTGGAACGCGTTCTTTCTTAGTGCCGGATTATAATGAAGCGGCGAGCATAGCGTTTTATTCAAACCAATCGGAATAAATGCATGCGTTTTTAGTAAGGCGTTTTACATAGTGGTGAAGAGAGCATTGCTGCAGCGGTACAGCCCGAATCAACCATGTTTGTTTCAGAAGCGGTTTAATACACGGTCGAGCTATTTATTCACTGCATAAACAGCTTTGCTCACCGCTCTGCTCGCCGCCTTACTATAATCCTGGCCTTAGAACCATAAACTGATTTTTATGCCTCAAGTCCGCTCACACTTTTCACTATATAGTACGTACAAAAACGGTAGTATTAATGACAGTGGGGATTCCCATCGCGTTACATAGTAGTTACTGCACATTTTCTTTTGTTAAATTTGGCAAATGTATGTGATTCAGTTTAATATTAATTTATTTGCTTGCATTGTCAAATTATAAAATCATGTAAACATATTGGCTTTGCAGTATTATATTTTCAAACTTAGATAAATCGAATTTTAACGTAATATTTGATTCACCTTTTTTTATTAATGTTTCGACAGTATTATTTTTATTTTAACAGAGCCTTTTGAAAATGGATAAATGGTTAAAAATAAGAAAGCTTAACGATGATAATATACATACCCAGCTAGCACAAAAATATCCCATCTACGTTAATAAGCTGCAATTTTAGGCTCTTTAAGCTCGCATGCGATGTACTTTTAATGTAACCCTAATATCCATGCAACCACCGAATGTCCGCAACGGCAAGACTTTTATAGCACATCTCGTAGAAGTTATAAAGTGAAGTTCAAAAAACATCACGCTAGCACTTTTACGATACTTACCCCGAAAGTTGCTCTGAAACTTTCTATAGATGTTATAATGTGAATTCATTATACAGTGTGTCCATGGACGGAGTTAACAATACTTGTAAAAATATTTATTTTAAATTTAAAAGTACTTCTTCATAATTTCTTTTGCTTGATAAATAAATACGATTAACGTTGAGAAATTATGAAAAAGGCCTCTTTTGAAAAATTTAAAATAAATATTTTTACAAGTATAGTTATGTCCATCCTTGGATACACTATATTAAAAATAGTATATTGAGAATATAGTAAAATCTGAAGAAAACAAAATAAAAAATTGTATAAATTTATTATTAAAAAGCTTTTGAAATCAAGTACCAATATCATACAAGTAGAGGTAGGTATTAATACGCAATTACACATACCATAAGGTAGCTATAAAACACTGACAAATTGGACAAAAGTAGGTATAAAGGGTATATAAGGAATATCCTCAAAGGTTCACTAGAATCGAAAACATTGAACGCTTGCACGAAAGAGTATAATAAGGTACCTATATTGCAAAGGTTAACTAGTAGCTAAAATGGTGAACGATTGTAGAAAAGTAGTAAAAACTGTATTTATATAAGGTAAATTTCAAAGGTCACTAGATTTTTATTAAGATGGCAGTTGTAAGATGCTAAAAAAGATATTTGCCTACAAATGGTACTAATCATAGTTTTAATACGATATAACTTGATTAAACTGAATATCGATTAATATAAAGTCATAAGGTTTAATAAAACAGCTAATATCATTATGCATGATTATGTCATTGAAGGTTCTGAACTAAGTGTTGAGCAAACTATAAATGATCTTGGTGTTATTTTTGACAGGGACCTATCGTTTATTCCTCATTTTATTAGATTCCTTGTTCCTGCCAGACTTACTAGGCAGATTAAACTATTTTATGTAAATACTCATAGAACAACTAACTAGGGACAGAATTTATTTGTAGACCGACTGATGTCCAATTACAATAAGTATTTTTCAAATTATGACATTTTAGTAGGTTTTTTTTAAGCGTTAACTACACTATTGACTTCACTTTTATACTATGACAATTTTATTAATTTCTTTTTTATTTTATTTTAAATGTATCATTTAGAACTTTATGTACCTGTAGCATACTGTAAACAAATAG